GTCTTTACTACAGATCCGAAACATAATTCTGAAATCAGTGAATCAACTTTATGTTTAACGGTTTAATCATAATGAACTATGCAGCAAATGTTTTTCAAAGCACAGAGTTTTGCAAATTATAATTGCAAAGCATTTTTTTACCCAGTGCCAATGACAAAGAGGCTTCTTAAATTATCACAGGTGGTTATTCAAGATCATGGGATAGCTCGAGGGAGATGCATGTTGCTCTACTTTTTCCTCTTTGTAAATCCACTGTCACCATTTAGTTGTACAGATATGTATGGCATACCTCCTAAGTGTCCCTATTTAGGAGTGACAGTCCCTACCCTGGATCCAAAATCCCTATGTCCCTCTTTTCTACCCTAATGTCCCTTGTTTCTAGGAGCTCCATATTGTTGGTGTGTCTGAGTATATAACTGAGCTCCACAGTAATAATACTCCCAGTTATGTGTCTGAGTGTAAAACAGAGCTCCACATCAATAATACTCCCAGTAAAGTGTCTGAGTATATAACAGAGCTCCACAGTAATAATACTCCCAGTAATGTGTCTGAGTGTATAACAGAGCTCCACATCAATAATACTCCCAGTAATGTGTCTGAGTGTATAACAGAGCTGCATAGCAATAATACTCCCAGTAATGTGTCTGAGTGTATAACAGAGCTCCACAGCAATAATACTCCCAGTAATGTGTCTGAGTGTATAACAGAGCTGCATAGCAATAATACTCCCAGTAATGTGTCTGAGTGTATAACAGAGCTCCACAGCAATAATACTCACAGTAATGTGTCTGAGTGTATAACAGAGCTCCACAGCAATAATACTCCCAGTAACGTGTCTGAGTGTATAACAGAGCTCCACAGCAATAATACTCCCAGTAATGTGTCTGAGTGTATAACAGAGCTCCCAATAATACTCCCAGTAATGTGTCTGAGTGTATAACAGAGCTCCACAGAAATAATACTCCCAGTAATGTGTCTGAGTGTATAACAGAGCTCCACAGCAATAATACTCCCAGTAATGTGTCTGAGTGTATAACAGAGCTCCACAGCAATAATACTCCCAGTAATGTGTGAGTGTATAACAGAGCTCCACATCAATAATACTCCCAGTAATGTGTCTGAGTGTATAACAGAGCTCCACAGCAATAATACTCCCAGTAATGTGTCTGAGTGTATAACAGAGCTGCATAGCAATAATACTCACAGTAATGTGTCTGAGTGTATAACAGAGCTCCACAGCAACAATACTCCCAGTAACGTGTCTGAGTGTATAACAGAGCTCCACAACAATAATACTCCCAGTAATGTGTCTGAGTGTATAACAGAGCTCCACAGAAATAATACTCCCAGTAATGTGTCTGAGTGTATAACAGAGCTCCACAGCAATAATACTCCCAGTAATGTGTCTGAGTGTATAACAGAGCTCCACAGCAATAATACTCCCAGTAATGTGTGAGTGTATAACAGAGCTCCACAGCAATAATACTCCCAGTAATGTGTGAGTGTATAACAGAGCTCCACAGCAACAATACTCCCAGTAATGTTTCTGATTGTATAACAGAGCTCCACAGCAATAATACTCCCAGTAACGTGTCAGAGTGTATAGCAGAGCTCCACCGCATTAATACTCCCAGTAATGTGTCTGAGTGTATAACAGAGCTCCACAGCATTAATACTCCCAGTAATGTGTCTGAGTGTATCACAGAGCTCCACAGCAATAATACTCCCAGTAATGTGTCTTTAAACTACAATAAATGTATTTGTGAATACGATCCATTGTTCTTGTTCTAAATTACATTTTAGTTTTATAAATTGTTAGTAAGTCACTTAAAATTCCTCAGAAAAGCTCTGCCCTGTCCATACCCTGACCCCCTCAAAATAAAAGTGTCAGTCTTTGACCTTTTCAGATCTTGGAAGATATGGGTTTCCATTAACCTGATAGATGTCACCTTATCCTGAGAGGTCTGAGCAGGCGTCATAATCAAACTCATAATCACAAAAGGTAATCCTAGGGTTAATAGCCGCTCCCTACATCCCACTCAACGCATTGGAGATTTGATACCCTGTTTTGTGCATACATTAAATGCTGAATCCTGTGATTTTAGCATTTTTTACATTTCCAATGGGCAGAGATATTCCTATCATTTAAACAGAAAACAGAATTGTCCAGTGTGGTAAGAGTTAAGAAACAAGCCATTAGCCATGAATAGATTCTAGAAAGAAATAAGACAGAAAAGTTCCAAATGTTTGTTCTAGTAAGTCTTTGTTTTAGAATCCACCATAGGGCCTTCGTGGCCAGATCACCTTTTTGCTTACACTTGAGGAAACAGATAATATGAAATTGTACTCAAAAAGAAAAATGCCACGGACACTCAGGGCATCCCAGAAGATCCAATCTAGTTTATATTGTTGTTTTATTTTTCCCGATGCGTCCTAGCAGTGGCAGAGTTTCATATTTTTAAGGTTACGAAACTATTACATTCCAAACAGCGTTTATATTGAAGGAAGCTTCCCAGTACCTCCTATCCCACCTTCTAATTTGCAGTTCTTTGTGTTGTGTAGGAAACATATCATTAGTACGTTTACGAAAGTAATCCCTTTGTAGACGTGAAGGTTATGCTAGCTTCAGCGTACCTGTAATCTAAATATTAGTAATGACAGGAGTCAAATATTTTGCAGTAAGTTCGCATTACTATTCCAACAGCAGCACAAATCAAATACTAAACCAATCAAAAACTAGCAGGAGACACTAAAAACACCTCCTCTTTCTTTGTGTGAAAAAAAGAGCTCAGGTACAGAACAAAATTGAAACAGCAAGTAACTGGAGGCGAATAATGTATCGGGAACAGAGGGATAGGTTCCCAGAAACTTCCAGGAGCACATCAATATCCAGGATTACTATTTATCACTGGATTAAGCTGAAACAAAAGGACAAATATGAAAAGGTATCGTAAAATGACATCATTTAAATACATTGTATAAATATATCAAGCAACAGTCAGCGTAAAAAACATGGCTACCATAACGAAAACTAGCAATACCAAAACATATAACTTCATGAGTACCGTAATAAAAGGCATACCATGAAAACCATTACAAAATAAGACAACAAAAGAAAAGAACAAAAATAACCGAGGGAAGGGAGTCATTAATAAAATTAAGATTACCGCTACACTAAAGCTAGCATAATCTTCAATTTTACCACGACAGTAGGCTTCATAATTTGCTGTTTTAACCCCTTAAGGACACATGACATGTGTGACATGTCATGATTCCCTTTTATTTTAGAAGTTTGGTCCTTACGGGGTTAACAAAAGAGAAAGAAGCATGGGAAACGGGATTGAAATGAAATATCTGTAACGTTTCCTATAGGGAGCTCAGACCAAAGGAAAACAAGTGAATTGGCGATTCTGATCTTGCCTAGAAAGTAACAACAACTGTCCTGAGCCGCCGGCACCAACAAGAACCAATCCTTTATGTCCAAAGGGGAGCAAGTCAATCTTCTGAAGGAGGTCTGACAAAAATGGATTCCCTCCATCTTGAAATGTCTGTAAACCACAAAAGTGATGAGTTGGTGAAGATTGACGATGGCACAAAAATGAGAGTTATAGTCTGACAACAGCTTTGAGGCATGTTTGACACTGTTGCTCTAACCCCCCTCAGAAGCTGAACGACATGGTAATAAATCAAGCCAAAAAGCCAATGTAACACCATAACCACAACATAACATCCATCCAATCCACTGAATTGCATGACCCATATAATAATTTGGGTACCCGAAGAAAATACAGGTCAGCTGAAAGACACACATTTTTAATGAAAACCTTCTAAACAGAATTAAAAATGATCAATACCAGATGCAGGATGTTATTAAAAAGATATATAAAGGTATAAAAAAAATTCCTTAAACCTCCCTTTACTATATGACAAATCACTTTATCTACAGCCGGTCCATCTACAGCCTTTTATCTTCCATCCCGTGAACTGTGCAGATAGCTTCTGTAAATTGAAATGAACTTCCAGGTAAATGTTGACGTACAGATGACTTTCCAAGTATTTTTCTAAGACCTGTTATTCTTCCTGGCATTGTTGCTGGGATGAATTGAAAACACCGTGTACGACCTCTGTCAAACATGTGTCAGACTATCTGTTATTTTCTGAAGAACACACAAACAAGTATCATTTAATATATTTGTTGTCAGATTGCCATTTTTTTGTGTGATGCTGTGGATTCCATATTGTATTTCACAGGCTTTCGCAGTATGTGGGATTCATATGCTCCGAGTGTTTAAACAATACAATAATTGTGGCTGGGATTCCAAACTAACTGCTACTATTAGTTTTTACCTTTTACAATAGGGACACATTGCTTCCCAATGCTCACAGGCAGCACCCTCAAAGCATATGCAACAAAATGCAGAATTCATGAATGTAAAAAATAATGAGATATTTATTTTACAGAACAGACAGGTTAGCAGAAGAAACACAATGAATCTGTAACCTCAGAGACCTGTCGATCACAGCAATCATACATTATACCATTTTGTGAATAGCTGCTCAGTTAATATTTCATTACTTTATTGCCTGTGTATGTTTCTGCAAGAACTTTTACATGAATACAAAACCTATCTAGTGTATTAAGGTGTTTGTGGCCAAAAAGTCTCTTAAAATTATGCAAAAATTAAGCAACTAATAAAATAAGTCCTATTCTTGTAGAGTTAGTGTGGATCTTGACCCCTATGGCATAGATCTCTTTATTTACTGTCAACTCGTGTACTGGCTATTAACAGAGCCTGGATTAACCTCATATGGTAAGCCTCAAAGAGTTGAATCTGGCCAGGGCCAGTGCAAGGATTTTTGCCGGTGTAGAACAGGATCTCTGGCGGCTGTTTGTAACTGTGGTCACAAAATTCAGTGTTCTGGGGGAATGTGAAGCAGCTCCATTTTTTTGGGCCCCTTACACAGCTCAAAGTCAGGGCCCCAGGACCTGACGGTGAGTATGCCCATCAGCAGGGCCGGTGCAAGGATTTTTGGGTACATAGGCGAAGATGTATCTTTCCGCCCCCCCCAAATAACATCTTCACCTATGTGCCTCTTAACCAGCCCCTCTCCCCGTCCATTAGTGGTCCCCTCCCTTCCCTGTCCCTTAGTGTTCTTCTAGGCTCTCCCCTCTTTTTCCTGTCCCTTGGTGTTTCTCTCCCCTCCCCTCCCTGTCCCTTGGTGCACCCTCCACCCCCTTAGTGGTCGCACTCCCCTTCCTGGTGTGCCTCCTACCTCTCTTGTAGCGTTGCCGAGTGGAGGATATCCCCTACAGGAGCTTCAATTTTCTGTACCTGGCCGGACTGACAGGGAGTGCTCTCTCAGTGAGCACCTCCGGTCAGTCTGGCCGGGTACAGGAAACAGAAGCTCCTGTACTGCGTTCCACCACGCTACACTCAGTGGTGTATACACACTGACAGTCACACACACTCAATGACAAACACACAGACTCACTGATCTGACACACACTCATTCATTGACAGGTACACTGATACTCACACACAGACTTAATGACAAAGATATTCTCACTGATTTGACAGACACTCACAAACACACACTGACAGACACACATACACTGCCACACTCATACACTCACATGCAGTACTCATACAAGCACTCACAGACACACATACTCATGCACACACTCAGTCACTCACAGGCACACAGACACTCCGGCACACATACACTCACACACAGACACACACACAATCACAGACAGTCACTCACAGACACACAGACACACACTCACTAATTATTTTAATAAATTAACAGGCAGGACAAAACTCAGGCACCCCCCAACCCTTCCCCCCGCCCGCTAAATACACACACACACACACACACACATTCACTGACAGATTCGCATACACTCGCTAACAGAAACACACTCACTGACACACAGTCAAACACACACATACACACACTCACTAGCACACACACTCACATTCACTGACAGATCCGCATACACTCGCTAACAGAAACACACACACTCACTGACACACACACACAGTCAGACACACACACACTCACTGACACACAGTCACACACACACACTAACAGACAAACAGTCAGACACACACACTAACAGACACACACTCACTAGCAGACACACACACAAACTCTCACACACTAACAAACACACATTAAATGACACTCACTGACACACACACAGTCAGACACACACATACACACTAACACTCACTAGCAGACACACACACACACACACACAAACTCACACACACAAATTAACAGACACACACTAACAGACACACACACACACACACACTCACAGGCAAACACACACTCACTGACAGTCAGACACACACTAACAGACACACACTCACTCACTAGCAGACACACACTCACACAGTCAGACACACACACACACTAACAAAACACACACACATTAACAGACACACACTCACTCACTCACATTAACACTTTTTTTTTTTATTCACTCCCCCCCCCCACCTCCTTACCTCTGGGAGTGCTGGGGGGGAAGGGGTTCATTACCTCCCTGGTGGTCCAGTGGCTGCTGGGCGGGCGGCCAGCGAGGGAGCTCTTCCTCTGAGCGGTCTGCTCAGCTCCCTCGCGCGCCGCAAAGTGAGGCTGGGAGCCGGAATATGACGTCATATTCCGGCTCCCGCGGTATCAGCAGACAGCGCGCGAGGGAGCAGAGCGTGGAGATTAGAGCTCCCTCGCCGCGTCTGATCACAGCACAGCCGCACGCCGCGCCGGGGATCCAAAAGGTGGCCTGGCAGGAGGGAGAGCTTCCCTCCTGCCGGTCACTGAAATATTGCGCCCCCAGAGCCGGTGCGCCCTAAGGCGGCCGCCTGTGCCGCCTTATGGACGCGCCGGCCCTGCCCATCAGGCCCACCCATAAGTCCACCAACATGTTCCACCCATGAGTTCGCTCACGGGGAGTGGGGTGTGTAGGGGATGTGTTACGTGTTAGTGTAGAGGGTCTAAAGTGTGTGCTTATGGAATGTAGTGTATAGGGGCACCAGTTTGTGTAGATGATGCAGTGTGTGTGTGTGTGTAGGTGATGCAGTGTGTGTGTGTAGTGGATGCAGTGTGTTTTTGTATAAGCGATAGAAAGCAGTGTGTGTTTGTGTGCAAGGGATGTATTGTGTGTTTCTGGTTGTGTTTAAGCGATGCATTGTGTGAATCTGTGTTTGTATGTGTAAGGGATGCAAGGTGTGTTTCTGTGTATGTAAGGGGTGCATTGAGTGTGTGTGTAAGAGATTCATTGTGTTTCCGTGTGTGTGTAAGACTGCCTATGTGGCCTATAGGAAGCGCCGTCCCTGAATCTGGCAAAACACCATAACAGATATGTGCCAAAGGAGGATCAAATCTCCTTTCTCTCACAACTGCAACTCTTTATTACTGGAAGTGACTGACACTGGTTACCAGGTCACATACTAAAGATTATGACATTGAGTGGTTGCCCCCCTTACACTGGGTGACCACAGATATCTAACTTGTATTTTAAAACGCTCTGGCTGAGCTATAAATTTGCATCAATAAACTAATTTGAAATAAAATAAACAGTATTCATAAGAAATTACCATAAAATAAACATACAGTTGCAAGAAAAAGTGAACCCTTTGGAATGATATGGATTTCTGCACAAATTGGTCATAAAATGTGATCTGATCATCATCTAAGTCACAACAATAGACAATCACAGTCTGCTTAAACAACACACAAAGAATGAAATGTTGTCATGTTTGTCAGGGTATTTATATCGGCAGACATCTTGTGCTATGATAGAAATTAAAAGTGTATATGCTGAGTCACTTTGAACAGAGCAGACTCCATTTTGTTATTTTCAAGCTAACAAAAGACACAAGATTTCTATCTGTAAAACTAACCACTTTCCCAGAGCTTAAGGAATGCATAGTATATACAAACCAAGTGATAAGGAGAACGGGGGTTGGACAGACTGTCTAAAATGTTAATGGAATAGATGCATATCTAAACACAGACATTTGTGACAGAGGAGATTAAATAATAAAATTTTACTTACTATATGTACAAGATCCCATTGTAAGTTACGGGTCAAAACTTAGTTATAACTGTCATATTAGAAATTATAGCAGAATTTGCCAGACACATAGTCTGGACAAAACTTAAAGAAACTGTTTGATCTGACAGAAAACTTAAATTATGGCAACCATATAGATAAGCCAAAATGACGTCAAAATAGCCACCAGGAAAAGTTAACTCTTTCCTGGATAGGTATGTTTAGTGGGACAAGACTGCCCTCTATAGACCAAATACTAAATTGCGATCTGGAAGGTAACCACACCTCCAGTGTTCCTATTGGGTTATCAACTAATGACGTACAGAGAGTCTGGCCCTTTAAAAGTTAAGACAAAGAGAGGAGAGGGGAGGAGGAATTGAAAGTTTGGGGACTCCAACTCGGACATGCAGAGAAACCCAGGACAACATCTGAGACTAACACTCAACTCACAAACTCTTTGACACTTTCTAACCAAAACAACTACTTTTCACTATTACCCACACCCCTCCATGCAGGGAGACATCCAAACAAGTTCCTGAGACTACCAATCGGATGAAATATCTATTCAACTGGTAATTATACTGGTTTAATTTAATTAATTAAATTAATTAAAATTTGCTAATAGCATGATATATGACTGGATAAATCACGGTCAGATTTCCATATATAGAAATCTTATTTAACTAAAGAATATATAGTTATAAACATTCCATTCTGCAGGTGCAATTAAGAATAATTATATATTAATGTGATAGTATCACGTGTTAGCATACCGCTGTTTTATCCAGGTGTATTGATTTGCTCTAAATTAAGATGATATCTTTTAGACAAATTAAATTCGGCTTTAGTAAAAATATAGTAGATTCTCTTATTGGATGGTTCCAGGAAATGACTAATGAACTGGTTTAAATGTTATTTTATTTAAAATTACATAAGAATAGATCTTAACTACCTAGGAGATCTAGCCAGCATTGAAAGGGTTATTCAGTTTATCTAACTGTTAGCCAGGGTTTTATGGCCCTTCGCTGTGAAAAACTTCGCTTTCTATGTCTGTAAGGATACCTCAGAAATCGTGTAAGTCTTGACAGAAAATGCTGTTTAGCCATTGAAACGTGTATACCCATTCCATTGTATTGCATACCATTTTATACTGGATATTCATTGATTATTGTCACGCATGTTACATATTATTATTAATTAATTTTTTATTATAAAATAAATCTATTTTTATAACAAATTGTGATTTTATCTATATGAAATACATTTCACTTAACACGATAACGATCTTTGAGATCTGAGAATTGAATTAGTGGGCAATTCTCACTGTTTACTATTATTATCCCATAAGTATTCCCACATGTTTTTATTGAACACACCATGTAAACATTCACAGTGCAGGTGGAAAAAGTATGTGAACCCTTGGATTTAATAACTGATTAAACCTCCTTTGGCAGCAATAACTTCAACCAAACATTTCCTGTAGTTGCATATCAGACGTGCACAACGGTCAGGAGTAATTCTTGACCATTCCTCTTTACAGAACTGTTTTAGTTCAGCAATATTCTTGGGATGTCTGGTGTAAATCGCTTTCTTGAGGTCATGCCACAGCATCTCAATTGGGTTGAGGTCAGGACTCTGACTGGCCCACTTCAGAAGGCGTGTTTTCTTCTGTTTAAGCCATTCTGTTGTTGATTTACTTGCTTTGGGTCATTGTCCTGTTGCAACACCCATCTTCTGTTGAGCTTCAGCTGGTAGACAGATGGCCTTAAGTTCTTCTGCAAAATGTCTTGATAAACTTGGGAATTCATTTTTCCTTCGATGATAGCAATCCGTCCAGGCCCTGACGCAGCAAAGCAGCCCCAAACCATGATGCCCTCACCACCATACTTCACAGTTGGGGTGAGGTTTTGATGTTGGTGTGCTATGCCTTTTTTTCGCCACACATAGTGTTGTGTGTTTCTTCCAAACAACTCAACTTTGGTTTCATCTGTCCACAGAATATTTTGCCAGTACTGCTGTGGAACATCCAGGTGCTCTTGTGCAAACTGTAAACATGCAGCAATGTTTTGTTTGAACAGCAGTGGCTTCCTCTGTGGTATCCTCCCATGAAATCCATTCTTATTTATTGTTTTACGTATTGTAGATTCCCTAACAGTGATGTTAGCATTTGCCAGTGACTTTTGTAAGTCTTTAGCTGACACTCTAGGATTCTTCTTCACCTCACTGAGCAGTCTGTGCTGTGCTCTTGCAGTCATCTTTACAGGACGGCCACTCCTAGGGAGAGTAGCAGCAGTGCTGAACGTTCTTCATGTATAGACAATTTGTCTTACCGTGGACTGATGAACAGCAAGGCTTTTGGAGATACTTTTATAACCCTTTCCAGCTTTATGCAAGTCAACAATTCTTAATCTTAGGTCTTCCGAGAGC